AATGGAGTGCTTTCATTTGTCATGTAACTGTGCCTATAAATTTAAAATCTTCTATTTCATGGTCCTGAGCAAAAGCCTAGCATTTTTCACATAACAAAAGATTCTCAGGTGAGTGAGTCATCTGGTTGAAGGAAAGCTCTGATTTCATTACTAGGAGGATAACATTGAATGACTTTTCTAAATTACTGTGTTAGTAAAAAGATTTCCAACTGTTGAGTATTTTGCAGCTTTACAGGCTTATGAACCATAACAAGTTTTCACATCTACGGATGCAGTTGTCATTATGCACCATACATGAGTTTTTATGCTTCAGCTCTGAGCTTGATTGAAGACTTTTCCTAATAGCCATTCAGTATGCATTTCAAGACTGCTTAAGATAGTAGCATTGAATAGACCTTATTTAGAACTGTCAACATTCATTTATAGTGATTATTTTAACTTCTGACTTGTAGCAAACAATTACTGATCAACTCAGAATGTGGTGACAATCATATATCTTCATGGAAAGTTTTGTGGAGTTTCCCATCCAGTTCAACAGATGAGTTGCAGTAACATTGTAGGTCCTGAGATGAGTCCAAAGACCAGTTTTGGGCCTGCATCCCTGTCTGCAAGCATTTCACCATATCAAAGTGCAGCCCTGCAGGGAAGGATGGAAAGTTTTTAAACTCCTTTACTTATTTTAGCATAATGTTGTTGGCTTCTGCCATTTTTTCTAATTTTATCTTGAGTTGAAAAGAGTTGCAGCAAACTGTTCCAGTGCAAGCTGAGAAGCAACACTAACCTTGCACTACCATTGTTTACTTTTGAGCATATTCCTGAAAAATAAATGCCACTGGGGAAAGTGTGAAGTTTTAAAAACTTCATGCATGGTTTACAAAGGAAATATTTAAAAAAAAAAATCTATAATCACCGATGCTACTGGATGCCAGAAAGCTTTTGAAGCAGTTAGTGAATTTAAATATCGGGGTATTTAGTTAGGATTCAAATTTCTTATTATTAAAACAGTCCATACAGTACTTATAGTCAAAAATAAAATTAAAACATGTAATTTGTGGAGGAAACATGAATTCATGCTTATAAGCAACTAGAATAAGTTTGCCAGAGTGCTGTTTTTTTCCACTGGTTAGTGAATGAGATCATTGCAGTGAATCTCTTCTTTGGCAGTAATCTCAGTTAAATAGATGTTTGTGCTTTGCTCTGGATCCCATTGAATACAAAGCTGAATTCAGCTTCTCTGTATGGATATTGAAAGTTCTCTCTGATCCTAGCTACTTAAGAGATCAGTACTCCCTTCTTGTCCATGATTTCTCAGAACTGCTGAGCTCTAGTTGTATGCTGAACATTTTTACCAGTGAGGAAAACTAGTTAGTGCCAGAGACTCAACTTTTACAGGAGCTGGAGATAGACTAGGGAACTCACTCCCTGGAGAGAGAAGAATGACCATGAAACAAACTACTGGTACTTTCAGAATTCACTGCAAACCTCATTTCTTCAGTTTTTCCCTCAGGCCTGGTCTACACTAACCCCCCAATTCGAACTAAGGTATGCAACTTCAGCTACGTGAATAACGTAGCTGAAGTCGACGTACCTTAGTTCGAACTTACCACGGTCCAGACGCGGCAGGCAGGCTCCCCCGTCGACTCCGCGTACTCCTCGCGCCGAGCAGGATTACCGGAGTCGACGGCGAGCACTTCTGGGTTCGATTTATCGCATGCAGACAAGACGCGATAAATCGAACCCAGAAGTTCGATTGCCTGCCGCTGAACCAGCGCGTAAGTATAAAAAAGCCCTCAGTTTCTTCATAAACACAAAACACATCCATTCACACACAAACATGAGCAAGCAAACAGAACCTGTAAACTAATCAAGTTGTTTTTTTCAAGACTACGAAGGATGGAGAGTGTTGCTTCTATTTTTAATTCTTGGGAGGCACTTGGGCTGATGGGGAGGGGCCATAAAAGAGCCTAGGTAATATCAGAATAACAGTGAGTGAGTGGACACACTCTTTGTTCAGATTGTTAATGAAAAGATCTTCTCTGTCCAAACTGTAAGATTTTGACAGGGATTCTTATAGGTAAGAGGCCAGGAAAAAACTTCTGGCATGTGATAGAGGCACAATTTTTTTACTTAGCATTTTTCTCCCTTAGTTAAAAAATAGGTATTTGGCTGTTCAGAACTTCTTTGTAGCTGTCTTAATTTAAAAATCAAACCCTAAAACTTGCAGTGTGCATTAATTAAGCCTTTTATATTAAAGCCAGTTTAAATTTGTTGAGATGTTTCTGTTCATGGATTACAGTTAAATATTTCACTTTGTTATATAACTTTTCATTACACCAAATTCAGTGGATTGGGGTTTTACTCTTGTGATTTGCAATATAATGGGATTTAGTCATGTGGTCAGCTTTTTGGACAAACTAAGCTGCGATCCCCATGCAGTTCAGTATTTTTACTCTGTAAAACTGAGTAGTCAATAATTAGAAAACCATTCAAATCTAGCATGGGTAGATTTATAATAGTTTTGAGGGGGCTTCTAAAAGCACTTCAGTGGATGTTTCTTTTAGTCTGCCACAAGTGACTATCATGTGGGAGACAAAAGGATAAAATAATGCAAGGACATAGGAATGCATTTAAAAAAAAAAACAACCCCTTCTAAATATTTAACCATAAGTGGAATTTCTACTCAAACAGTCTTCGTTGCACCAAGGCATCTGTGAGAAGAGTCTTTATAATGGATTTAAATTTAGTAATACCCTCATAAAAAACATAAGAATGGCCATACTGGGTCAGACCAAAGGTCCATCTAGCACAGTATCCTGTCTTCCGACAGTGGCCAATGCCAGGTGCTTCAGAGGGAATGAACAGAACAGGTAATCATCAAGTGATCGTCCCCTGTTGCCCATTTCTAGCTTCTGGCAAACAGAGGCTTGGGACACCATCTCTGCCCATCCTGGCCAATAGCCGTTGATGGACCTTGTGACACTGCACCCCATATTCTTCGCAGTGATATTATTATATTATTATTATGACCTAATTATACTGTATTTTATGCAAGTCATGTGAGGTGCCATTGGAAATGTTATGAGTTGTTGAATTTGATTATCCTCTTTGTATGCATATCATTTTTGTATATGAAGTTATGAATATTGACTATGTATCTGTATTCCAAATGTAGTTACACCTGGGTAATGCCCACTAGGTAAGATACTTTCAGTCTAGATAGTGGGTGGGGAAGGGCCTATTCGGGGCAATGTGCCATTAGGAAAAAACAATAGGCCTTAGGAAAAGCTTATCTACCACCTGGTGAGCCTTCCTGTGAACTCTCCAAACAGCCTGTGAGTGATGGCTGCTATGATTCTACAAGAACGTGATGAGACCACATCTTGGGATGTCAGTATTTTTCCACAGACCGGTCTGGAAACCGAGCTTTGGAACAAAGGGTTCCCGCCATATGCAAAAGCTATATAAGGCAGGGAGTGACATCATTGTTCTTCTTAACTCCCCACACAAGAAGATGCCTGAAAACACCTGAGGAACAAAGACTGAACTGGGGGAAGTGCTGGACCCAGGCTAAGGGGATTTCTAGCCTGTGAATGATACACCTGGGGATTTCAAACTGTAAAGCAAATGCAGCTTGCCCCTTAAAAATCTGCAGCCTGCTTGTATCATCTCTTAGGGTGAGAATCTGCTATTCATATCCAATCTATTTAGTATATTAAGTTTACTTTGCGTTTTTTTGTTTATTTGCTAAGTAATCTGTTTTGATTTGTTTGCTATCACTTATCACTTTATCTTTGCTTTATCTAAACCAGTGTTTGGGAATCATCGCTCAGGGGCAAAAGCCTGTTGCATAGTCCTCTCCACATTAAGGGAGGGGGAAAATTTTATGAGCTTATGCTGTACAGTTCCCTGTGCAGCGCAAGACGGTATAATTTTGGGTTTATACTCCAGAGGGGGTACGTGCCTGAGGAGCTGGGAATAGCTTTCCCATGCAGGGGCTGGTCAGAGAGCCTGCTTGTTACTGCAGCTGGGTGTGTGTCTACCTGTATGTATGCTGGTGAAAGTGCAGGCTTGGAGGGCTTTGTAGCTTGTCACAGCAGTACAGTGTGAGAGGGAGCCCAGGCTGGTGGGTCAGGGAGCTCAGTGGTACGCCAGTTCCATGTGACACCCTGGGGGAACCCGTCACACACCTATCCTCTATGAATTCATCTAGTTCTTTTTTGAACCCTGTTATAGTCTTGACCTTCACAACATCCTCTGGCAAGGCGTTCCACAGGTTGATTGTGTGTTGTATGATTAAATACTTCCTTTTGTTTGTTTTAAATCTGCTGCCTATTAATTTCATTTGGTGAACCCCTAGTTCTTGTGTTATGAGAAGGAGTAAATAACACTTCCTTATTTACTTTCTCCACATCAGTCATGACTTCATAGACCTCTATCATATCTCCCCCCACCCCCCAGTCGTCTCTTTTCCAAGCTGAAAAGTCCCAATCTTATTAATCGTTCCTCATATAGAAGCTGTTCCATATACCGCCTTTGCTTAAACTATAAGGTATTGTATACAGGTAGCTCTAATGTGATTAGTCTCCTGACTTTTAAATAGGTGTCCCTGTCCTTAAAATTTAACATTCTTGTTTAAAAGTCTGTTTTGTAAGGCTTTCTTATTAGCCAGGAATTTATTTAAAAAATATGATAAACTTGCTAAATATACTAAAAGAAATCCAAATTGGTAGTTTGATACTACCACTGTAAAGTTATATACAGCTGCTGAATTAGCACAGGTTTTCCTAAAACTAAACTATTTCTCTCTCCTGTCATCTCTCATACAAAAGGAAGGCTATACATTATATGAAAGTTTGATTTAACAGTCTGGTCATGTCAACTCATTCGTACTGTATCCTGTTTACAGTGGGTGGTGTTAACAGAATTTGATACTTGGGTTGTTCCGTGTTTGGTAGCTTTATGTTGATGTCACACGGAGAGCTAATTAGATACGTTTACAGTCTTCTAGTACATTACATGAATACTGCTAAACTGAGCTGAAAAGATGCTGAACTGTTGAAAAAGGACAGCTAAAAAGAATAGAATACGTGGAAAGTAACCTCGCATACAGGATGAGGCAATATGTTCAAGTTCCGACAGTTGAACAGGAAAATACCTATGACTACAATCCTGCATGGGAGCCAAGTCCATTTATGCATTTGGGTAGGTGGGAAAAAATCACTTACTATTTTGATGTTATGCAACATTTCTCACTGTATGGTTTGTAGAATGTTCTTATTTAAAAAACAAAAGAGAATGCTCTTAGTAAATACTTAACATGTAGACTATGAAATCTTGATTTCAGAGGACATATATTTGAATACTAGGAAAATGTGTACTGTTAAAGTTAGTGTTAATCTACTGTGTAAAACTTTTATATGGAATATAATGTACTGATACAGCTTTTTCCACTGACCTAACTTCAAGTTTCATATATTTATTTGCTTATGAATATTGTTTTCCCCATTCTATTTTTTTGCCACAAGCAAACTAGTTCAGGGCACAAAAACATGCCAGAATCTTTCTTTGTTCCTGTTGCTCAGATGGTAAAATGTAGTAAATATAACACAATTGAAAGATACTATGGGAAATCTGCAGTGGGGAAAAAGGTAAAATGGACATGTTTCAAGTCTACTGTACTATTTTGTTTAGTTTGGCAAATTCATTTGGTTGAACAAAATTCAGTGCGGTGACTATCCTCCCCACAAAGGGTAGCAGTTGTGTCCTGTTTGTCACATGGTCTGGCTGCCAGAATGAGTCAGCAAAACAGCTCATAAATAAGTGTCAAGATCAAATCCTCTGTTATTTTACATTCAGATTATATTGCTTCAATTGTCAAAAACACTGTTTTTAGGCTTGCTGTTGTAGCTCTTGGTATAGAAGAGTTGCCTTTGGTACTGAGTTTTTAATTTGTCCTTTCTTGACAGTAAATGGGAGAAAGGGACACAAGTATGTGAAAGATGATTTAAAAAGTCTTTATTGGAATGAACAGTATTTTCATTAATTGGAAACATAATAGCTGTATGGCAAATATGTATTTAGAATGTTTTCTGTATTTATCTGTATTTCAAATAACGATCTCAAATTATTTTGCTAAAGTTACTCTTAAGAGTTATGGAATTGTTCTAATTTAGGAAAATAATCTAATAAGATTCCAATATCTTTGCTGAAGTGTGGCGCCCAGACTTGGGTACTCACCTCCAGCTGAGGACTCACCAGTGCTGAATAGAGCCAGAACCATTACTTCCCATATCTTACATATGACACTTTGGTTAATACACCCCACAATATTTTCCTTTTTCACAGCTGCATCCAGTTGTTGACTCGTATTCAATTTGTGATCCACTACAACCCCCAGATTCTTTTCAGCAGTACTACTACCTAGCCAGTTATTCGCCATTTTTAGATGTGTAGTGGGTTTCTTTCATAATAGTAGTACTTTGCATTTGCCTTTATTGAATTTCACCTTGTTGATTTCAGAACAATTCTCCAATTTTCAAGGTAATTTTGAATTCTAATCCTGTCCTCCCAAGTGCTTGCAACTCCTCCCAGTTTGGTGTCATCCACAAATTTTATAAGCATGCTCTCCACTCCATTAGCCAAGTCATTAATGAAAATGGACAGATCCCTGCGGGACTCCACTAGATACTTCCTCCCAGTTTGACAGCGAACTGTTGATAACTCTCTGAGTACTGTCTTTTAGCCAGTTGTGCACCCACCTTATGGTAATTTAATGTAGACCACATTTCCCTAGTTTGCTTATGATAATCTTTACTTCAATTTTTTAGCGTTCTATAATATGTACCTGATTTTGCCAGTTGTTGCAAATTCAGTCTTGTTCCCTTATTTTAATCAATATCAAATATTACAAAATGTTGTATTGTACAAATAGGTTTCTTTAAGATATTTGTAGGTGTCTTTTTAAAAAAATCACGTAAATCACTTACTCGATTGATATTTTGATGTGGTGCTGTGGAGGATTCTTGTGAAATGTAGTAAGTCCCCCCCCCCCCAGTCTATAGTGAAGTAATATTTCTGTTATCATCTCTATCTGGTGCTGTGGAAATTATCTATTATACTGTGTTTTCAACTATGTATTCATGAATGAATCAAAGGACTGATGAAGGTAGACTGAAGGACCAAGTGTTTAAAAACAAATTGTTGTAAATTTCACAATTGTTGTTTGCAAGTTACATAAGATAAAAACAATTAATTAAATTGGCAGAAAATGGGCATAATTGAAATTCAATGGGGCTCTTCTTTCCCAAATGGAAAGTTAATTATTAGGAGGGAGAGAAGAGGTGGATAGGATAACAGTATCTAGTGGTGTACAGTCTCTGTAATGGAGAGGGATACAGCAAAATTAGACAAGGAGTTGTGTATCTATTACAGCTCCTCTTGACTGGTAGAAAGCAAGAGTGGAAAATTCCTGACCAGTTATTGAGTTTGAAACCAGCGGATAGCTTATATTTGGACCTCCCATACATCTTGTTGGATGATAAATATGGCTAAAAATGACACAGGTTTCTCAGTTGCATAGAGATCCAAATGTTGAGTAAAGTCATACAACTACGGATATAACCTTCACCATACATACCTATCCCCTCATAAACACTGTCCCTACCCCCAAACAAATGAACTGCAGTCATCAAGGTAGTAACCAGACATTCTTAAGTCTGTGTTTTGTTTTAACGTGGGTGTTGTTTTCCCTTAGCAACCTTGATGTTTTAGCAAAGTTTTTGTATGTTTGTGTTAGATGTTAGGAAGGGGATCCGATTGGTAGGCATCTAATCTCCTCTAAAGTGTTCACCTCCCCTACCCCATTATATTGCTTGCTATTTGGGTAGGTATTGTGTTTGAGATTTGAGAGGCAGGCTCCCACTGATTTTTGTGGACAATTACTAATATTAGCTTATCTCTAAATGGCTCCTGTGCTTCAGAGCTGCTCTACTGTGGATCTGGGACTTGACCAATGAGTTGGAATCACATCATATCTGACCCATTTCTGGAATAATTTAAAACTAGATTGGATAAAGCGCTTAAAAATACTGCAGGGAATAAATCTGCACTGATAGAGGAATGTACCAGATGGCTAGCTGGCTATATTCCATTTTTGATTTTAAATGTGCATTATTACTTTAATTGCTGTTTCTTGTCATGTAAATTATAATGGGTTTTTATTCCTTTGAACAATCTGGTTGTGCTCAACCCCCGAAAAAAATGAACTATACCTAACGCATATTCTCTTGTCTTTGTGAACAGGAAATCTGATGTGTGTTGCTTATTATGATAAAGAGAGACTGCATGTTTTACTCTAAGAATCTCTTGATGTATCTGAGTAGAACGTTGTCATTTAGTGCGGTTGACAGCGGAAATGGGGCAAGAAGATGGAGGAACAGGCATTTTTAAAAGTGTAATTTCATTTAGTTGTCTTAATAGCCTACAAATGATAGAAGGATGGGAAGGGAGCATCTTGGTATATTTTGGTTTGCATATTGCATTCACAGAATAATTAATTGGCTACTAAATATCAGACTAATTTTATTGCTTACTGTAAATTACAGATGTAAGTATGAAGTGTGTGTATACACACATACAATAATCTGTCCCTTCCTTATATTGTGAAAGGATAATTCAGAGCCAATATAAGGCAATAAATGGAGCAGTTCTGGTGCAATTTATTGTCTTGTTTGGAGATGTTTGCATTTTTCTTGTCGTCCCCCACCCCCATTTAACGTAACTTACAGTGGCAAAGACATTTCTAGGACACAGTGGTTCCCAGTACTCAAGAAATTTATGTATTGTCTCTGAAGTATTTACAAAGGGATTATGACATCTTTACAACAGAATGAGTGTCTGAATGCTTTTCTGTTAACCATGAAAAGAAATATTTTCAGCAATATATTCTTAATTGTTGGTTATTAAGAGTATTGGTTTGGGCTGTGGGAATACTCTTGTTTGAGCATGAGATTAAGTTTACAGCAAATGATTTACTTATAATGTATGATTTACTACATAGATGCCCCAATCAAAGTGCATTACATATGTATTTCAAAATACTAAACTGGCCTTAACAGCCACATGCAATCTAACATTGTTGTTCCTGTGACATTCCCCAGGATGCAACATGAGCTGTTGTGTCCCCTCAGTTCTCCAGCCTGGGATGCTTTTTACACTGCTTTGCTCATGAACAACAAAATTCTCTAGGTGCTGATCACTCTCAGCCACCAGCATGTAAAGTTACTCCCTAGCTGAGTACATAAATGCTGTGCCCAGCCATCCATGAAGAGGTACAGGGCGACACTTGCATGCCCCTCAGTCCCAGCCTTGCCCCTCAAAAATGTGTCTTGTACTGTTCAGTAGACTCTCTAAGCTCATTAACTAGTTTGTCATATCAACAAAGGGTAATGAATATGCATCAGTCCTGTTGACCTGACTAAAGATTTCCCAAATACTTCAATCAAACACACTGGTTTAGATAAAAGAGTAAAACAAGTTTATTAACTAGAAACTGATTTACACGTGGTATGTTACAAAGGTCACACTTGGTTACAAAAGAAATAAGATAAACATGCAATCTAATTCCTAAGCTTGAACAAGCTAAGATTTGAAGCACGTGGCTTGCTCACTTGACCAGTTGTTGCAGGCAGTTGTTATAGAAGATTGGGGTTGGAAGAGACCTCAGGAGGTCATCTAGTCCAATCCCTGGCTCAAAGCAGGACCAACCCCAACTAAATCATCCCAGACAGGGCTTTGTCAAGCTGGGCCTTAAAAACCTCCTAAGGATGGAGATTCCACCACCTTCCTAGGTAACCCATTCCAGTGCTTCACCACCCTCCTAGTGAAATAGTTTTTCCTAATATCCAACCTAGACCACCCCCACTGCAACTTGAGACCACTGCTCTTTTTTCTTTTATCTGCCACCACTGAGAATAGCCTAGCGCCATCCTCTTTGGAACCCCCTTTCAGGTAGTTGAAGGCTGCTATCAATCCTCCCCTCACTCTTCTCTTCTGCAGACTAAAGCCCAGTTCCCTCAGCCTTTCCTCATCAGTCATGTGCCCCAGCCCTCTAATCATTTTCGTTGCCCTCTTTCCAATTTGTCCACATTCTTTCTGTAGTGGGGAACCCAAAACTGGACGCAATACCAAATAGAAGAGAATAATCACGTCCCTCAATCTGTTGGCAATGCTCCTACTAATGCAGCACAATATGCCGTTAGCCTTCTTGGCAACAAGGGCACACTGTTGATTCATATCCAGCTTCTCGTCCACTGTAATCCCCAGGTCCTTTTCTGCAGAACTGCTGCTTAGCCAGTCGGTCCCCAGTCTGTAGCAGTGAATGGGGTTCTTCCTTCCTAAGTGAAGGGCTCTTCACTTGTCACTGTTGAACTTCATCAGATTTCTTTTGGCCCAATCCTCCAATTTGTCTAGGTCACTCTAGACCCTATCCCTACCCTCCAGTGTATCTACCCACCGCTCCTCCCCCCCCCCCCCAGCTTAGTGTCATCCGCGAACTTGCCAAGGGTGCAGTCCATCCCATCATCCAGATCATTAATGAAGATGTTGAACAAAACCAACCACTGGGGTACTCCACTTGATACCGGCTGCCTACTAGACATCGAGCTGTTGTTCACTATCTGAGCCCGATGATCTAGCCAGCTTTCTATCCACCTTATAGATCCACCATTTAGGGATCTGGGGCAAAAATCTGTCTGGGGATTGGTCCTGCTTTGAGCAGGTTAGACCCCCCTGAGCCAGCAAGTTAGAGCACTATAAAATATAAGTGTAGACAACCCCTTATAACCTGGGGATGCAGAAAAACATCATACCCTTCCTTTCAGTCTTTGGGGGGCAACTACACTGGGGCTGAAAAAGTGGTGAATAGTGGAATTTACCCCCCTAGCTGAGTTGCTTCCCTCTCCTGCTGCAGAGATTATAATAGCTGCTAGCTGTAATCTCTCTGCTTCTCCTGGAGATGCTTTCATCTGTGAGTGTAGGAGGTTCTAACTTTTCCCACAATCCACTCCTTCACTTACTGGCTGTTGGAGAAAAACTGCTGTTCTAAAAGGTGGATTTAAGGAGGAAACTGCCAATGCTTCCTCCTGGCAGCAGATCAAGAGGTTATTGTGAGGAGGTGGTTTTGCTGCTTGACTGCCCCTGTTTAACCCAGATGATATGTGTCTTGCCCCACTGCTCCAGATGAAAGTTTTTAACTTTCAGGCCCTGGAGTAGGGTAGGCCCATGCTCTACAAGTCTTTATGCCAATGCACATCATCTTCTGCTGGAATTGTTGCCTGTTCTCTTTCTGGCAGATACTTCTTCCTAAGGAAAACATGGGAAGGTGTGCAAAAAATGAGCTATATTACAGTATTAATTAATTTTTTGTTTAACTCACTTTCCACAAATGACACTTTTCTAGAAAGTGAGGTTGCAGAGTATAGTTACCCTTTAACTTTGCAGCTGTTTTTTCCTGTATGTGTAGCCCATACACCTCCTGGATATGGTGCTCTGTCCCCCTCTAGTGGCACCAAGACTACTTAGAGATTGAGTCTGCTACACTGCATTAGCTAAGAGCCATGTGGCTTTTGGCTCATGCACTAGAGTTTCATGCACTAAGCTTCAGAGGTCCCAGGTTTGATCTTGCCGACGACCTGGTTCTGTCAGTGTGACATATGCTTGTACTCATAAGAACATAAGAAAGGCCGTACCGGGTCAGACCAAAGGTCCATCTAGCCCAAAGGTCCATCTAGTATCCTGTCTGCCGACAGTGGCCAATGCCAGGTGCCCCAGAGGGAGTGAACCTAACAGGCAATGATCAAGTGATCTCTCTCCTGCCATCCATCTCCACCCTCTGACAGACAGAGGCTAGGGACACCATTCCTTACCCGTCCTGGCTAATAGCCATTAATGGACTTAACCACCATGAATTTATCCAGTTCTCTTTTAAACTCTGTTATAGTCCTAGCCTTCACAACCTCCTCAGGTAAGGAGTTCCACAAGCTGACTGTGTGCTGAATGAAGAAGAACTTCCTTTTATTTGTTTTAAACCTGCTGCCTATTAATTTCATTTGGTGACCCCTAGTTCTTGTATTATGGGAATAAGTAAATAACTTTTCCTTATCCACTTTCTCCACATCACTCATGATTTTATATACCTCTATCATATCCCCCCTTAGTCTCCTCTTTTCCAAGCTGAAGAGCCTGTTCTGTCCTTTCGATATATTTTGTACCCCGGAATGATTGTGTCCCATTGATTGCTCTCAGTCCACCAGGTTTCTGTGATGCCTATTATATCAATATCCTCCTTTATCACGAGGCACTCTAGTTCACCCATCTTATTATTTAGACTTCTAGCATTTGTGTACAAGCACATTAAAAACTTGTCACTGTTTATTTGTCTGCCCTTTTCTGATGTGTCAGATTCTTTTTTATGTGAATGTTTATCATCTGATCTGGCCCCTACTTTATCCTCTTCCATCCTCTGCTCCTGACTATAACCTGGAGATTCTCTATCATTAGACTCTCCCCTAAGAGAAGTCTCTGTCCGATCCACAGGATCCTTTATCCTCTTCCTCTCTTAAATGACTCTATACAGCTTCTAAAACATTCACCGTCTAATAACCTAATTTTTTGTGTTTTGCTTTTTTTGTTTTTTTTGGCAAATGTTTTTCCAGGAGTATGCTGTTGCTGTGCTGCTTTGCGCCCTCGTTACAAACGTCTGGTGGATAACATATTCCCCGAAGACCCCAAAGTAAGTAATGATTTAATTAAACCTTAACCAAAATTCTGAATTTGAATCTTCTTTGTTTACTAAAATATTATTGTAACAGAAATAGTAATATTTTGTAACTTTTAACGTACTTTTTGGAGAACGAAAGGCATTCCATTTTTAATCTGCCAGAGCATTCTCCAGTAAGAGATATCTGCAAAATTGTCATCCAACTGTTTGGACCACAAATATTTAATATTAAACAGGCCATTTTTGTTCAGATATGACCACAAGTTTGAACGTATTTCCTTTTCTCTGTATGCCTAGCACTTCTTTGTTTTCTGTCTTTTTGAAATATATATTTTGGTTCACCCAATGGATTATGATCCAATTGTTTTTCATCTTTAGTTGTCCATATGTATTGGTTTATTGTGACTTCATTTGGATACACAGAGTAGAAACCCTTTCATACCATGTTCCTTGAAAATATAGTTCCTTCTTGAGTGTTAAGTACTGATGGTGCTAAATATCTAATACAGCTGAATGTTTGAAACTAATCCAGAGTTTCTGTAAATGGTGGAAGATCACTTTCAATGTCTTATCAGATTTGTACTACCTTTTTATTTTATTGTTTTTAAATGAAGGATATGAATAGTATGGAGTCGTGTTCTTCCTAGAAGATTTGCTATTATCACTGTGGGCTAGCTACCTACGCTTTTTGTAAAATATCGGCTGCAGGGGAGTGTTGTTCTTTTCTGTGGATCTGATATCTTCAAAGCATGGATTTTTTTTCAGAGGAAATAGTAATTCAGACGTAAATTCTGTCTACCTACAAGCGGGAGATACTGTTGGTCTGTTTTCCATATACAATCATAGAAACCAAATACTTCTTTAAACATCTTTGGTACTACTGGTATAGAGAAACGTCTCTGAACATCTAAAGTTGGACTAGCCTTACTAGTACTGTATGTGCTCTCAAAAGCAGCCCTGATGCAGCAATCCATCAGACTCTCCTATTGTGCTGGTGTGTGCACAAGGTGGGAGAGGGCAGGATATTGTCCAGCCCACAATGTATGACACTGCGAATGGCTGTAGGCCTAACTTTACACATTAAATTGTTAATTATTGCCTGGCATCTAACTGTGATCTGTTTAGTCCTCTGGGGCATCTTGATACTAAAGATTTTTCTTTTTCTAATGACTCATTTCATATATGGTGGACATTCTTTCCTGTGACTGTTCACACATAAGTTAATCATTCTTGTGAGACTTTGAGAGAAAATACCCTTCTTTTATATAATTAATATTTAATTTGACTTAAATTGTTAGTAGTGAATTAATGAATCTGAAATATTGTTGTTTAAAAACTGTGCCATTTGCTGAACTGCCAGTTAAACTGCTTTGTAGTGTAAAATAAGTTGGATGATAGTAGACAATCACAGATCAGTTATGCAGCCAGGAAAGGGGACTTTAACAGGAGTACAACTTACTGCACCAGTAGCACTGCAGGAATGTAGTTATCGCTTTCAGGGTTACAGTGTGGCATATCTAATCACCATTACTGCATGTTCTTCCATAGTAAATGATCCCAATATTCTCCAATTTATTTAAACATGAAATTATCAAAGTGTAGAAGAAGTGAAGAAAAATTCCTACACAATGATCTGGTCCTTCTCCCCTTGAAGCTGATGCTGCTGTACAAAAAGGAACCACAATTTTAAAGATGTTGCTCTAGTGGAGGAGGACTGAAGCTTGGGGGGAGGGATAGCTCAGTGGTTTGAGCATTGGCCTGCTAAACCCAGGGTTGTGAGTTCAATCCTTGAGGGGGCCATTTAGGGAGCTGGGACAAAAATCTGTCTGGGGATTGGTCCTGCTTTGAGCAGGGGGTTGGACTAGATGACCTCCTGAGGTCCCTTCCAACCCTGATATTCTGTGATTCTGTGATTCTGGTTGAAGGGGTTGAGGCCCTGAGAGCGGCTAGACTTTCACCTTGATGTCCGTGAGAGAACTGGACAAAAAGCTTTAAAAAAAAATTCATGAATAACCCCTTTTTCATTGAAAAAAATTAAGAAAAATGTGTATTGTCTACCAGCTCTAGTCGGTTATTCAAATGAGCAATATATTTTAATCCCTGTTTCATCTCCACTCTAAAAATTAACCTATGATAATCCTGAGTACTTTTTGTATGTCAATAACTGTAGTTGGTACTGATATTTCTAACTATCAGATGGCTTCAGCTCCTTAAACCCTAGCTGTAATACAGACAAATATGGAAAGCAGTGGCCTTGTACAGAGAAGAGTCAGAACTGTTAAGGCATGATATTCGAGCAATGAAACATTTAGACTGCAATTCAGTTATATAAAAACAATTTTAGCCTGAAAGGATTAACTTGACGCACTCACTTCTGAAGTGTTTTTTTATTGAAGTAATGGCTTTTTGAAGGACTCTTAAGTAACAAATTGGACTTTAGGAAAAATAGTGTGTTTCAAGAATGATGTCACAGCTCACCCATAATCTGCCTTTGTTAGAAGGAAGTGGAACACTGACAATATACTTCTCTGAGAAGTACTGGGCTTAATCTTTTACTTTGCAATTTCTGTATTTTAGGCCCTGGACAAGCTTGTTAATGAACAGTTTAACATATTCTAGTAAAATGGCATATTCTAGTTTGTATTAACCCAAAACCTGTGCTTTGAATTGGAAAAATGAAAGAGTTTTAAGCTTCTGAAATATGTTCCTATGAATTAAAAAAACAAACTTTGTCTCATTCTTAGGATGGTCTTGTTAAAGCTGATATGGAGAAGCTGACTTTCTATGCAGTTTCTGCACCAGAGAAGCTGGATCGAATTGGAGCTTACCTAGCAGAGAGACTGAGCAGAGATGTTGTCAGACATCGCTACGGGTAAGGGATTCGGTCACTGTATAAATACAGATGCGGAAAGTTCGCTGTTTTCCCCTATCATTATTCTGGTTCAGTCTACAAGACATATAGAGTCAGAACCTTGGATATTGTTCATGCTGATGGGCAGGGGATAGCTATTAATTTTTATTTTTTAGCCAAAATATATTAAAAGTAAAGTGAATTATGAAGGTATAGGCAATGTTGGATGTGAAAATGACCTGGATTTACAAGTCAAACTTCTAGACTCAGCAGGACATATTTTCTACTATACTAAGAGTGTTTTCATTTAATATATCCTTCAGTTCTTCTGTTGGAGCTATAATTTTATATAAGCTAATTGTCTGACTTCACAGGTGATTGTCCTTAATACTTGAGCTAAATTAATCCTCCTCACCCCAGAGGAACAGGTTGGAAATGGTCTTTCCTGTACTTTCCCAAAGAGGGAATAGGGGAGAAGACTATATAATGAAAATAGAGAGGGGAAGAGACCATAAAGTTGAAAGAGATTAAAAAAATGACAGATAGCACATGGAATTGGAAGAGAATGTTGTTGCTGCCTGGCAGTTATCATTGAAGATAAAGAGGTATAGATGTAAAAACAACTGTAAGAATTTTTTTTATGGAAACTGTCAGTATGTGAGTGACAGTAAACACCCCTCCTGATCAGCAGTCTTCCCTCTCACTAACATGCTCTGTGTAGATTGAGATGTCTCCTTAAACTGTGGAAGTTTAGATACGCTGCTGTCTTGTCATACTGGGATTTTGGTAGACTGAAGGCCCTCTACTGACTAGAAGAGTGGTGCCTTCAATACAAAATAAAAAGTAGGAAAAATAAGATATTAAAAAAAAAAAATCTCTACAGGAATACCCAGGAATCTTTACTTTCTTTGATTTGTCTTCGAAAATATACTTCTGAAATAAGTGGAGAATATTAGGGTGATGTGCCTTACACCAATCTGACATTTAAATGTTTTTTTTCCAGTTTTTATAATATAGGCTTAAATAAAAGCATTTAAAGTTTGGGCCAAGGTAAATATGACACACACTGTGCATCTGTATGGATCTCTTCTCAATTTGCTTTCAGGTATGTTTTAATCGCCATGGAGGCACTGGACCAACTTTTAATGGCTTGCCATTCTCAAAGCATTAAACCATTTGTGGAAAGTTTCCTTCAGATGGTGGCCAAGCTTCTAGAGTCAGGGGAACCAAAGCTGCAAGTTCTTGGAACCAATTCTGTGAGTAAACAGTTTGCTAACCCAAATCTGAATCAAGTTCATAGAAGATTGGAGGTGGTGAGAGATTGTCATGCCAGATGTTCAGCTGGTATTCAATCGAAGGAAAAAACTTAATGAAAGCCTGAGATTGCATGTAGTTAGTGCCTGTATGACCCATATGAATGCATCTATAAGCAGCTTAACTATCAAAATAATTCTTATCTATGGATATTTATGCTACTAAAAGTATAAAATGATTTTCATAGTAAAAGTTGGAGGTGAATGCCTTACTCATGAATACAACTAATTTTATTTGGTCTTTTCCCCTTTATGGGGTCCATCCAGTCTTCCTCTGTTTGCACAGTAAAGTAGATTCTGCTTAATAGCAATCCCGATATTAACAACCTTCATTTAATAGTAGCATATCGTCGTGAACCGCTCCCATCCTCTTGACCTTAATGTTAATGGGATTCGGATATTGGCAGCAGTCATGCCACTTACAACTCTTTTTGGAAGAAAGTCCCTGGCTTTTTGGGCATTTTGTAAAATGTTCTCAGACAATTCCCATTCGCATTTTTCTGTTTAAATTCGTGCTCCAAATTGATTTTGCTCAATTGCTTCAGCTTTGTGAATTTGGCTCTCTTTAAGCATGAAGTATTGCGGCAGAGCTCCTTCTCTGCCTCGGTGGGTTCCGCGCTTCCTCTTAGTGGCGGGCTGGGGGATTCCTCTCTCCCTGGGAATTTCCCCATGCCCCTGGATTTACTGCCCCCACATTGTCTGGGCAGGGGTTGCTCCCAGCCTCCCTGACGGGAGGGGGAGGGGAGCCTCTTAGTCTCCGGTAACTACTACGGGTGTAGTGATGGCAGGCCAGGAGCCCAGTTCAGTCTCCCCCCTCTGGCGAGGTCTCTTCTGCCCAAACCTCTGGGGCCTGGAAGGGCTGTACTCCCTGTTGGGCAGGATTTCCCCTGCTCTTCACCTCTGTATCTGTGAGGTTGGTCTCCAGTGTTTACCAGTGTCTGCACTGTCTAGCTCTCCAGTAGCACGCCCATTCCCCACAGCACCTATCTGACTGGAGGGGAGGCTTTTAACAGGTTCTGGCAGGCCCTTGATTGACCCCAGGTGTCCTAATTAATGTGGAGTAACCCTTGTTCAATTACCAGGGGAAAAGGGACCTGCTTATCCTGGGGCTAATATACCGGCCTTCTATACTTACCTGGCAGGGGCGATACCATGATCACGAAGGTAGTTTTCCCAGGCTGAGGCTTATCCATTGCACTGCGGGTGTGCTGACCCCTGTGATTTCCACAAATGTGGTAGTGGAGGACTGTGTTCGTGCTTTCCCTAGTGTAAAAAAATAAAATAAAAAATCACTCTCCTATAGCTGTCTGGCCTAACCCCGTCACCGTATATATTATTTGTTTAGACTTTATTCTATTTGCACATTACAGATATGATCAAATCATTATCACTCATACCAAAGCTACCACTAATGTTTAGTTCTGTGATCGGTTCCTCTGTCTGTCAAGGTGAGGTCCAATATAGATAGGGTGACCAGATACCAACTGTGAAAAAACGGGACGTGGTGGGGGGTCATAGGCGCCTATATGAGAAACAGTCCCCAAAAATAGGACTGTCCCTATAAAAACGGGACATCTGGTCACCCTAAATATAGATCTCCCCCCCCCCCCATGTTGAATGTGACTTCTGGAATTAAAAATTGTCATCTACAATATTTAGAAATTCCAAATATCTCTAGCATATATCACTGAAATTGAAATCCCCCATGAACATGCAGCTATTTTTCCCTGTACACATTATAGATAGGTGCTTAAGGAACCAGTTATCCTGTCCCCTAGTGTTTGGTGGCCTGCAGCAGATACAAACTAGTACTCAGTCTTGTGCTTTATCTGTTAGGACACTGATCTATAAGAATTCAAGATCACTTTGTCCCGAGCTGTCAGTGACTTGGAAACAGGTAATGTAATTTTTGACATAGAGTAGCCACTCCTCCGTTTTGCTCACTTGATCCTTCCTAAATAGGCTATAAAAAAAATCCATTGATTTTTAGCATGTCGGTCATGAAAATCATCCCATCAGGTTTCAGTAATGCTAACTAGATCAAATTTATGCTAATAAATGAGCAATTCGAGTTCATCTTGTTTGTTACCTAGGCTCTGAGCATTAACGTATAGGCAATTCAAATAATTCCTTCTCTTCACAACTTCTAGTTTCATGATTAATTTTATCGTCATCATGATTTTGTGCTCTGAGTGCTCATTTGTGCCTTCTTTTCATCCTCTCCTTTTGTTATTGGGTTAACACCAGTCTGTTCTTGAGGAAACTGGTTCCATTTTCACTGAGGGCATATCTGCACTACAAACTTAAGCCGATTTTATGTAAGACAACATCGAGCCTCCGTATTAAGTTGATCCTGCGTGTCCACACCACGCTCATTGTGTTGGTGGAGTGCATCCTCATTAGCAGCACTTGCATCAATGCACAGACCAGTCCACCATGGATAGCTGTCCCACAGTACAACTAACCACAGGATGTTTTGGGAAGGGCTTGCAACACCTCATGGGACTGAAACATTGTTGCGGGGGGGAATGAAAATATGTCTTCGGCCTCCCATGATGTACTTTCCCTCCCTCCCTCCCAATATCAACGGCAAACAGCCCATGTTTTTTTGCGCCTTTTTCTGAAAGCCTGCCTTACCAGCACATACATCATAGCCTGAGAAGCATGGAGCCTGCTCAGCTGTGCACTCTTGTTGTGAGCATTACTAACACTGTGTGCCTTATCCTGCAGTATTTCCAGTGCAGAGACAGGAGCCGTCACATGGAACATTGTGATGTCATGCAAGCAGCCTGCTGCCTACTGCAAGCCATAGAATGAAACAAAAGTGTTTACTTTTATTTGTATACACACAAAGAAACTGAAAGAACAGAAACATAAGTTAACCTTGGGCAAACTGGCTGATAAAATTGGGAGGGGAGAAACCAAGTAAGTCAGATTGTTTTTCGAAAGCATGGGTAGCGTCAAAGGTCAAGGATGGGCTCCTTTTGTTCTGTGTATCCTCCCCTAGGGTTGAGTGGAAGGGATACTGAATTCCCCACTGCCTCCTGGAACGTTTGGGGCAGGGGGTTTGTGAACAGGGTAATGATTGCAGGCAGTTCTGCAAGGCCTCCAGATGGAGTCTAGCCTCAATCTGTTTTTCTTGAAGCTCAACCAGATATCTCAATATGTCTGATTGGTCCTTCATAATCCGCAGCATCTCTTCCTGTGAGGCACGGTCCTGGGATGCTCTCCATGTCCATGTCCAGTTTCTCGGAGAGTGAAATCCTCTAGGCTCTGAGCTACGTCTCAGCTGTCCCTGAGGCATTCAATATCTTGCTGAACATGTCATCATCCTGTGTCCTTTTTTTCTGCCTTTTGATCTGCGATAACCTCTCCTGGTTTGGAGGATGCACTGTAGGACAAGCTTTTGGCTATAAGGCATGCAAAGCACAAGGCAACCATTGTTAGCTCTACCCTGTTCTGGTGCAAGGTTGGTATTTAAAAAAAAAACCACTCCCTTTATTACACTCCAGTGCAAGCCAGAACATAATCAGAATCCCTAGCTATTCAATGAGTCGGTTTACTGTTCCAGCCAACATGAGTATGGCCCCATGGCATGGGCGACGAGCCTTGTGCTGCAACTTGTGGGAAATTCACATTGAGGGCACAAGTGGGCAGGTGAACAATGCCCCCTCCCCCTAGCAACATGGATGTTGCTTGAGAACCAGTGCCAGTGTTAAGACTCCCAAATCGCTGTCTGTTTCTCAGGCGGTTCCATGGGGTGGGGGATAACACAGGAAGCCTCCTCCCCCCCCCCCCTTCCTTAACGCTACTCTGAATACAGGGGTTCTCAAACTGGGTGTTGTGACCCCTCGGCGGTCGCGAGGTTATTACATGGGGGGTTGCAAGCTTTCAGCCTCCATCCCCAAATCCCACTTCGCCTCCAGGATTTATAATAGTGTTGAAAGTGTTTTTAATTTATAAGGGGGGTCGCACTCAGAAGTGTCCTGTGTGAAAGGGGTCACCAGTACAAAAGTTTGAGAGCCACTGTCTTAGTAGATGCCAATCCCTGCTAACCAAAGCAATGGCATGTTAGGCAAAGCGTGGTTGAGGGACCCGGAATTCACCGGGAGAGGTGGATCACATGCTCCATTGTTTGTGGTACGAGCACTTGTAATGAAAACTTCCCCTGTATTCTCTAGGTGACCTTATGTGATGTGATAGTCTCCTGAGGGTAACAGAGGCGGCAAGGGAGCAGATGCTACAAGCATCTGGGTACAGACCTGGTCCTTATGCTGCTATGCTGCGTACCAGAATGATACCAGCAGAGTTAATAGTGGAGTGGTATAGGAAAGTGTCCTACTGTGGTAGAAGAAATAAGGCAGTCCCTCATCAGAAACCTTCTGCAAAGTATTGCAGAGTACCTTCATGAAAGTTTCCTAGAGATCTCCATGGAGGATTCCGGGCCATCCCTGTGCACATAAACAGTCTTTCCTGGGGAGCACCATCTGCGTAGCTGGAGCAGCAACTTCGAAGCAGATAGCCAATGCACCTCATTTTTTGTTCAGATTAAACATAAAGTATAATAGCATGTAAGCCCTACAGTTTGTTTGGAAATGTATACTCACCAGAGGTGCCTTCACCGGCATCATGCTCGCCCACCATACTTTCCGGAGACTGGCTGGGCTCTGGGGTTAAAAACAGGTTCTGGCTGTCAGGGAGAATGGATCCACCGCTCACCTGTCTCCTGTCCTTCTCCAGAATGTCCTCCTTGTTGTTTCCTGTGGTGGCCCGGGACTCATACTCCTGGGAGATGTCCACAGTGTGTTTGGGCGGGAGTGGTGTGGTCACTGCTGAGAATCGCGATGTCCAGAGCGGTTACAGCAGAGCATTGTGGGACACCTCCTGTAGGCCGTTTGAGTCAAACTACACAAAGCTGTGTCTACGCTACCTCTCTGTTGACCCATCAATATCAAATTAAGTGCTACGCCTCTCGTAGAGGTGGAGTAATGAAATCGCTGTTACAGGCGACTTAGGTCAGCGGAAGGGACCTGGTAGTGTAGATGCATACATTATTACGTCTATTTAAGGCGGCTTCCATCGACCTAAGTTTGTAGTGTAGACAAGGCCTGAGAGAGAGAGGTCATCCAAATGATATAACCCCCTCTTCTGTTCCCATAGAAGGTGGATCATGCACCACAAAACCAAAAGTCTTTTATAAGAATTGATCTGGACAAATCACTTGAATAGGCTCTGAAGATGTTTGAACGTTTGTGAACATGTTAAAATTATGTCCTCCTTTTTTCCTCTTTCCTGAACTTCATGGTTCATTACACTGTAGAAGATTGATTTGTCTAAAAAAGCCATTTTGAAGACAAGAACCTAATTAATCACACTGCCACATAATTAGCAATGCTGTGAAACAAACAATAGGATAGCGGGTATTTGAAGCCTATTCCTGAAGCCCTTAAAAAGAGGAAAGCTTTAAAAAATTTTTATAAAATAGTGTGTCAAGAGAAAACTTTGCTCTGTTGCTTATGTTGTACAGCGAATGTCTGTGGGCTGTTCTCCTTCAGACAAATGAGTGGCAATAGACCTTAGAACATTGGTTTGATTGTTAGTCACTTTCTTACCATGTGACAACCTAGTGTATTCTGTTTCCAGGAAGAACATTTTTGTACAGTATCTCAGGTTTTAGAGCCAGCTTTTTCAGTGATGCTTAGAATATAGTTGTAAGAAATCTGCTAAATTTAAACTGGAACTACAGCTCTCAGTAGGTAAAATGATGGCAGCGAGGTTGTTGGATACAGAACTAATGTTGCAAAGGAAACAGGAGAAAGAGATGCAGGGCTGAGGAAGATAATGAATGGTAACAGTTTCATTATATCTCCCTCAAATACAGAGCTCTCACCTTCAAGTTTGTACAGTGCCCCTGAATTTAAAAAAAATAAAATATCATGGTAGTGACTGCTGCAGATTCCACATGGCTTTTCCAGTCATATCTGGATGACCTGTTGATACAGGCCAGTTCTAAAGTTCAGGGACCATGATGGAAGGGATGCGCTTAGATCAGTGTTTCTCAACTGTCCTTCCTCTAGCTGGTGAGGGTTAAAGCAGTTCCTTCTACAGCCTGCAAGTGTTGCTCCGTGTGACCCAAAGTGAATCACTTGCAGCAACATGAGGTCACTCCTTCCCCCTCACCTCCAGGCTCTGATTTCATGGCCTACACAATGCCTTTGGCCTCTGCTGGCCTGGAGAACAGGCTTGTGAACAAAACTGATCACTTTGGTATAGCTTGTTGACCTACCATTAGATTGCAAGGCCAGCTGTCTTGGTCTTCACAGATTTTATAAGATGATGGAAAATTACACTTAAAAAAAAATCCATTAGCTAAGCATATTAATTCAAAATAAGAAAAAATCACTTAGGATCGATAGTTTTCTGAGCTGGGCTGATATTTTTCTGGAGCATATTAGGGCAAGGCCTATTTACTCCGCCCCCCCCCCCCCCGTGTTTCCTTTTTGTTTTACTAGATTAACCAAATAAATCAGGATAAATTATTAATTCTGCTCTTATTGTGCAGATATTCTACACTGCATTGCAACATGAGGATTATTTTTTCTGTTTAATGTTTACAAAGTTGAATATTTAAATACTGAACAGCCACTTTTGAAAGTTCTGGAGTTAGAAACTAAAAAGCCTTCTAGTTCTCTTTTTGGAAACTTGTTACAAAAAGTTTTCTAATCGTTCTTTTTTTTTTTTTTTTTTTGGTCCCCTAGTTTGTCAAATTTGCCAACATTGAGGAAGACACCCCTTCATATCACAGACGCTATGACTTTTTTGTTTCTCGATTTAGTGCCATGTGTCATTCCTGTCACAGTGATCCAGAAACACGAACTGAGTAAGTACCAGTTTATATTGTATTGCTATGTACTCTGTGGAAAACTAAAGCAGAAGAGAAGTATACAATAGTTATAACATTCGGTGATCATTCAAGGAACTAACATTAGAACCTGTGCATTATTTCAGGAAAATAGGCCACGTACTGCAAGTCTTACTCAGTTAAAACTCCCAGTGTAGTTAAGTTTTACCTGAACAAGGACTGCAAGATTGCACCAAATATATTAAGGGACATAGGGTCAAGCCTACAACCATATGAGTCACATGAGAAGTCAGACCTCACAATTGAAGTATTGATTAACTGATACTTCAATCAGGAGGCCAGGGGGACCCCTGTTGATGCACCTGCTGCTTCTAAGGGGATCCCTGCTGCTACTCTAGGTTGGGGAAGAAGAGGGTCCCATGCTGCTGCCTCTGCTTCTCTGGAAGGGAATTGGGTAGACCTCTGCCACTGCATTTCCAAGAGGGAGGTGAAGCTGTTTGAGGAATGGAGGAGGGGAAGGGCTAGTATTGTGGTTCTCCTAGGGCACCAGGTTCCCTTCCAGTCCTGAGTAGTAGGCTTCTAACAAGTCTTCACTTACAAAGGAAATATTTAGTTTGTATAAGTAATCAAAATCCTTTACTACTACAATAGTACAAAAGTATATTATGGTATAAAATAAACTGTCTAAGCTTAGCTGAATTTTCAGTAGTGAACTTCCAAACAGTTACCTTTAGTCAGTTTATCTAAAGTATAAACATCATGGTGATTTTTGTATGTTAAAACGTAAATAGATATAGGAATGGATTTGCCAGCTTACCATAACATTTTCTGCTTTGTTTGGTAGGATCACTGTTAGTCCATTTTGTGTAGTGGGAGTGTAAGCTGTGGTTAGGGATGGCATTTTGTATATAAATTAGTGTAATTTAAGGGCCAGCATGTCAATAGTGTAAAAACACTTTAATTCATAAAACGTCAGTATATTGCACCATGGGCTTGTTTTTTAGTATTACATAAACACTACGTTTTTTGGTCTTTAGCTCCCTCTAGTGAAGTGTTCTCATTTGTTGTGTAAACTATGTATAAGCATTATTGAAAATACTCAAACATGTTAGAATTTGTGAGAACTTTTTTTATAGAATGATTTATAACTCCACTATATTGTTACCCTTTTTCACACTGTTAGGAGAATGATGTGCTACCAGTGCTGCTGTCTGGGGCCTCCTTGTGCTTTCTCTCTCAGGTTCTCTGGTCTTTGTTTCTTTCACAGATACACAGCCTTCGTAAAACAATAGCCAGCTAAGTCTCTTGCCTACGTGTTCCTTTGTTTTGGGTGGTGTGCCTGTTTTGGGGTGGGAGGTCACTGTTGCTTCAGCTACCAGGTTCCATAAGGGAGCGTAATGGCCTCTATATTTATTCTGAATGAAAGGTGGGTGTTACACCCACCAGCAAGGTTCATCCCAACCTATAACAATACTGATTTTTCCTGCTTTCATGTATTAGATTGTTCAGCTTGCCTTCAACACTAAAAATCCAAATTGTTGTTAAATATTTATAGTAGTCAGCATTGGGTGGAGGCCTACTCTGCTACGTGTAGTACAAAAGACACTTTCTTTGCTCAGAGGAGTTTAAGAAATAACTGAAATATTCATCTGAAAGCTGTATATTTTTATTAAGGAAAGCATACTCACAATGCATCTTCAGGGACAACATGAAGCTTCAGTGGTTGCATGGTCATTAAAAATAATCAACACTTATGGCACTTTTTACTTAGAACTCAAAGTGCTTTACGAGTTGTAAAGGTTAGATTAATAGATTCTAGGACTGGAAGGGACCTCGAGAGGTCATCGAGTCCAGTCCCCTGCCCTCATGGCAGGTCCAAATACTGTCTAGACCATCCCATCCCATATGGTCTTAGTTTCCTTATCAACTTGGACAAGGTCATAAAGCCTGCTGATCATAGAGATGGGGTTGGAACACGACTCTGGTAATTTCTAATCTTGTTCCTCACACCAACAGGAATGGGGATAGGTCCTGGCCTTAAACTAGAGTGTGTCCTAATACGGTTGTCATAAGACTGCAGACTTTGACAAATCATCCAGTAGTTCCAAATATCTAGTCTTTTTGAGACAAAACTAAGATGCAGAAGGATTTCAAGGTTAACATACATCTGATATGCTTACGATATTCAGATGTAAATCCAGCACCTTTTTTTGAGTATTGGAAGAGACCTCTTCTAGTGGAAGCTGGGCCATTCTCCTGTACAGGAATTATGCCAGAAGATGGAGGATTCATGTTCCTTCAGTACAACAAAAGCCCCAGCTTCATGGGGGGTTTCTGCACAACAGTGACAGTAAGGATATGAGGGCTGGGCCTATGGTGCTGCTGTATAGATCCACTGGCCTTTTCCCTCCCACATAGTGCAGGAATAAGTAGCTCTTCTCCCACTGTGATCAGAGGGGAAGTATACCTTCCTCCCGGTGTTCAGGGGCAGGATTTTGGTCTTAAATAATTTGCATTTTTCATGTCTACGTTTCCTGTCAGCCTGAAGTAACTCTGAATTGATCCAATTTAGTTTACATTATCATTGTGAAAGAGACTTCCCTAAAGGCTAGGATTTTTTTTTTTTTTTTAATGAAAGCTTAAATTCTGCAGAACCCTACTTTCCAGGACAAGTTTCCTACTCATGTTGGCAAATGAGCTAGCAAATTTTTCAGGACATTAAACAGACTCATATAACTCAGATTCTCAAGCTCCAAATTGATTCTAAGAGTCAGATTGAAAGAGCCTGTCTGTACAGAAATCTTAAACTTGGTGCTCATCACCTCCTTCTTAAAAAAAAAAAATTAGATAATCATAGGAGTTAACACAAAAGTTGCCATTAGGATGGACAATGAAGTCACTCAAGACGAACAAGTCTTCACTATGTAAGTACCTTTTGATAGGGGTGATTATTGGTACAACCATTACATGAGCAAAACTTGATTGTACACCAAAGATGTATAACTGAGAATTAAATGAGCATTCTTGATTAAAGTCGTGCTACTTTCCTGTAAAGAATAATAAACATCTTACTTCAAAAATGTTAATATTATGGATGACATTATGTGACTGAAACTTTCTGTGATGGAAGATTAAAATGCAGTGCACTTTAACTGTAATTCCTAGACTTCTTAAAATTGGAATTACAAGACTGCACTATACTTCTACTAAAGTAATAAACATGCATTTCTCTAGCTATTTGAAATGCATCCCAATCACATGCACATGCTGTCTCTACCTCTTACATTAACCATATTAAAGCTGTCTTGCACAAACTCCTAGAAACAGGTTTAGTTCTAGTACCGAATCCTAATTAGACCTGCAATAGATTATTCAGAATCATAGCCCCCTTATTTTCCTATAACTGTGTGCCTAGTGAATAAAGTGGCATTTATGAAGTAAAGCTTGGACTATTTTAGTTTAGTTTAGCAACTGTAATGTGACTAACCGTTAGCTTAGAGAAGTAAGAATCAAGGCCAGTGACCATATTCCTTTGTGCTGAAATTAAGATTTAAAATGGCTTTAAAGGTGTGATAAAATCTTTATTTTTAAAAAGTCCAATGATGCTAAATCTTCTCACCTCTTATAACTAGTAGCTTTCTTCATTTCAATATCTCTTCTCAAAATAAGTAAAAATATAAAAAAATAAAATAAAAAAAAAATAGCCATTGGCGCGTCAACATATTTAATATTTATCAGTTCGGTGCCACAAATATGAACCTTTTCTGTATAAAGTTGTGTTTTACATAGTTCCTTCTAAACTACACCTGTATTTATACTTATGGATTAGGAATGTAAAAATGTAACCAGTTAAGCTTGATGCTTATCGGTTTCTGTTAATGATTAAACTCCATCTGGGATCCCGGCGGGCAGCAGAGCGCAGAGCCAGCAGCTGGAATCCCCAGATGCAGGGCTGGCAGCGGAGCCCCGCCTAAAACGTTGGGGTGCTGCAGCACCCCCGGCATCCATAGTTCCCCGGTTAAACATTTAACCATGTAACGATAGAATTTTAGTCGGTTACATGGTTATTGTTTTTACACATTATTTACATCCTTCTATAAATGGCTGTAATTAATAGGACTAAGTCCTCAGTAGAGGTCCGAGCATATCAGTTTGTATTTTTTTGCAGTCAGCATTTTTGGTGTATTTGGTTGATAAATACAGATGGAAGTGCCCTTTCATGTTTAACTTTTATTCATTGATCAAGATACATGTAACTGTTCTAGCAATTCAGGCTGCCTTCCCTTTTCTGGCTTACTTCTGTCATTTCTAATCATTCTTGTAGATATCAACCTGCAAAAATCTTGAAAGATTAGCTCCTTCTTCTTTTTTGTAAGCCATGCACTTGGTGCTTTAAGAGGCAGTCTGTACAGTTGAACAATTTTATATATTTGTAAGTGTGCCTGAAGATCCATATCAGTACAACTTTTAAAGGCCATATATTGTTCTCATGTGTGCATGAGTTGCTTCCATCAGTGTCAGTAGGAGCCTTGTGTCCATTGAAAGGCAATATGTATGTCCTTAGCAGTTTTAACCAGCTTTCCAATTTAATTCCATTTTAGAGCTGAAATGAAATCCAAACTGCATAACCACACTGTCTAATAACGAAATAAATCATTGTCTTATGCTACGTTTCCACCTTTTGAAATTTCTTTTCTCTCCTAGGATCCGGATTGCTGGAATCAGAGGCATTCAGGGAGTAGTACGTAAAACAGTTAATGATGAGCTCAGAGCAACCATATGGGAGCCTCAGCATATGGACAAGATAGTTCCCTCGCTGCTGTTTAATATGCAGAAGATAGAAGACCTTGACAGGTATTCTGCACTAATTATCACTAATTCCGATTTTTTTTAAAGCAAGCTTTTCCTTCCCTGTTAGAGTAGCTCTCATTGTCACTACATACTCTTGATAAACGTGCATAACTTGTAGCATAGATATGGTTAACTGCTAATCTTCGCCTTGATAAACATTTTTTTCAACAATCAATAATTCAATTTTTCCAGATCCCATCAGACTGAAAATTGGTTCACAAATTCTTTATCCAGATACCTTTAAGCTTTTTAAAATTAAAAATCACTTGTATCATGCAGTGTCTGATATAAAAATCAGCAAATACCATTTTTGCCCAACTAAACAAACCTGTTTAAAGTTGAGATTTTTATTAATGTTTAGGTAGTCCTTAAAGCAGTTTCTGGGATTTTTCTTTTAGGGGAGGTGAAGTGGAAGCAAGATATGGAACTAAGGCACAAATGGCAGTTGAGCACCCAGCTGCTGTTGACTGTCAATGGCTCTTTGGCATCTAACTGCCATTTGTACTTTTTGAAAATCTCTCCAAAGATATTTATGAATGAAATCACTGTAGCTCTTGAGAATATACAACGGTTACTTTTCCAGTGCATTTTTGTATGTACCAGAATGTGTATCAAGTTTTTTTGTTTTTTTTTTTTCATAATATTATTGGAGCCATACAATTGCTGATAAATACTCTTCTGTGGAGCATGTATTACAGGCAAATGTCCATTCGCTAATCCTGTGGAATTGCGTCAAGCTAATTCCATTTGTGGAGGCATTCTTCAACAAATCTTTCTTCGTGGCTGAATCTGCCCCTTTTAAGAGCCTGCCTGTTATTAGCTCCGGTAGACTTTCTACATCTACACAAAGCAGTCATTTCATGCTCTCTCTCGTGCCTTCCTGCTTTTCTTTCCTGAACCTACAGGCCCTTTGTGTTCTCTCCTGCCTCACTTTTTCTTCCATTTCTGGCTGGCAGCACCTTGCTCCCCTTCAAAGCAGCAACAATTTCAAGCTAGGCTGGTACCAATGTCTCCCCACTTCAGATCAGTCATTGCCTACCTGCCCATTTTTCTACATGCTTCTCTGAGAGTCTTTGGAATACGGATTGCCCAGGCCTTTGAGGCACACAGCTGTCTCCATGTGGCTTTTACCCTTGGAAAAGTGGCCTGAACAAAAGCCAGTTGTTCCCAGGACCCTCGTGTTGCTGCTCTGAACGAGAGCAGCCTAGCCAGCCTCCACTGGCCTTGGGATGTCTGTGCTAGAAGAGAGGACTTCTCAGGAGCAAGCAGACAGAGACACCTCTACATTACCCCCTTTCAGGTTCCTCTTAACCTCTACCTGTGCTGAGAAGCAGACGTATGGTTAACTAAATTAGTACTTACTCATTAAAGAAATGAACGCAGAAAGACTCTGACTTAAATGGGGTTTGGGTTAGGCCTTAAAGGAGGTCATTTCAGATGGACCCTGGGGTAAAATTTATCACTTAGTGAGCAAAGGAAAGTAATATCTGAGGCTAACTGCTTATTTGAAAGATAGTATTCTAAAGACACTCAGCAGAAAAAAATGGCTAATGCTTTTCCAAGTGGCAAGTAAGTGGCTTTTATACATGACATAAAAATGGAAAACAATATTTATCAGTTGTTGACTCTTGGCCTTAAATGCTACAAATAATAATTTCTCGGTTTTTTTGCTATTGTGACTTTATACATGCAGAGGCAGAAGAGAGAGGCATCTTGAAGAGTAGGAGTACGAACCATATTGTTCTAGCAGATGGCATCAAAGCATTATGCAGGAAAGACCAGACTTTCCAGCCCAGCTGCATAGAGAATGAATAAATACACACTACCATCTTAAGGGAGAATGAAACATTTCTCTTGACATTGGTTGCTTTTAAGAAACAGTTATGGGCTCTTCTTCAAGTAGTGTGCCTGCGCCCTTGGTCTGAGATTTTTGGTAGCGGTGCCTGTTCGGCCCACACATGTGCCCCACACATGCTTGTGCCCCTCGCTGAGATAATATGGGACAGCACAGGCAAACTGCCCTCATTTCCTTCTCAACTGCCTTCGGCCTGAGATGGAGCCTCTGTGTGCCTGTTTTCTCTAATACTTCAAAAATTAGTTATCTTGTAGCGTTTGCAGTTGTTGGAATAGTTGTTTCTTTTTTATTTTTTTTTTTCCTAAAAAAAAAAAAAATATTCATAGAGATAATTTAAGAGCTTCCCCTTAGAGAAGTTTTTTCATTATTTTACTCTGGAATGCTGGTCTTCAAGAGGTGTCTCTCCTGCCGTGAGGCTATTCCGGTCAGTGATGGGCATTCCCAGTTCCTCTGCTGTTTGGGTGATACTCATATCCCCAGTAAGTGCAAGATCAAGTTAACATCCTAATGATGGAGCCTGCTTTAGGACCAGCTTCTAATCCCCATGGTGGAGGACTCCCCTCTACATAAACCTCCCAGTACTGCTAGCACCCCATCCACATCAAGGTCTTGGTCACTGGAGACCACTAGAGATGTAGGCAGTACCACGGCACGAAGTATATCTATGGTACTGAAGTCCTCATTGACATCTGCCTCTAGCTAGGAGGAGGTAAGGAGTAAATCTCTAAGAAATCTCAGTCACCGACGCACAAGAAGGCACAGAGACCTCAGGTCCCAAGAGGAGTTCCATGCAATCTCCAAATGATGCCGGCACTGCAAAGGTGGAGAGGAGTCCATTGTTTAGACAAACTGGGAATTGAGTTTGGGTACCTGCACCCACACCGGCAGAGACACTGTTAAGAGTTCTGACCCCGTCCCTGAGCAGCACTTGGTACCGATAACATGAAAATCAGTGGTACCAAAGACTGCTTAGCTACCTTTGCTACAGGTGGAATCGGAACCAATTTACTCACATGCCGAGCACTCAGTACCAGCTGCATCAGTATTGAAGCCATCTTCCACAGGTTTTCACTCGACTCTCTTTGATACCATGGATACCGCAAGAATTTAGGTATGCAAAGGACCTGATGGTATCTTCAGAGCCAAAGTTTCCTCTGTTAATGAGTGCTGGGGGTTTGTCAGCGACAGGAGTCTCTTGGTCACCAACCTCTCTCTCACCTAGAGTAACAAACTTGCCCTTGTCTGCTTTGCAAGCTGAACAGCTAGCTCCCCCCCACCCCCAACCTTTGGAGTATGTGCAGGGTTCCCTTGTCTATTCTAGGGGACAGTGCTCTCCTTCCTACACTGACGTGTTACAGGAGGATAGACTTCAAATGACACCCATGTGGCAGGAACACAGATGGATGTTTCCACCTATGCTGTTTGGGCCCCCTCAGTGGCTCTGGTGGGACCTGTGGACGTTCTATCGTCAACAATTTGCAGCAAGGTCTTTGCACCACTGAAGGGAACAGAAAAGGGACCATTCTTCCTCAACCTCCGCTACCACCACTTATGACAAAGGAGGAGACCTTTGAGGAGCAAGAAATAAGGGTGGTTAAGGAGATGACACCTCTTACTAATATTTCCTCCTTGTTGCCTGACGAAGCTGTCTTGCTTCCACCACCCTCTTAAGGTAGATGACGTTAGGCACTTTCAAGAACTGATGAAGTGAATTGCTGACACGCTTCAGATTCCCTTTAAGGAGGTTCAGGAGTCCTGCCATAAACTCCTAGATATTTTGCATACCTAGACATCTGCGAATTGTCATTCTGGTCAATAAAGGCTGCTAAGACAGTTTAGCAAACCCTAGCTGCCATACCACCTACTTGCAAGAGGGCAGATAAAAGGTATTATGTCCCTGCCAGAGAATCAGAGTTTTTATTTTCTCATCCAGCTCCACATTCCCTGGTAGTGAAGGCTTTTAGTGAACAAGGCAGATAGCATAGATCGAAGTCCACCCTTTACAGTAAGGATGACAGGAGGCTTGATCTTTTTGGTCCCAAATGCTATGCTTTAGCCACACTTCAGTTCAAGATAGCAAATTATCAGGAACTCATGGTCAAATATGATTATTTAAATTACAACAAACTTAATTCCTTTATTGAGCACCTGCCAGAGGAACATCGTGACCAGTTTAAGGCCATTGTAGGTAGGGTCAGCTCCTGGCAAAGATGATATTCCAGGCTTCCTTGGATGCTGCAGATACTACAGCACGATCTACACTCACTGCAGTGGTCAGGAGGAGAGTGTCTTCGCTGCAGCTGTTGGGCTTCCCAAGAGAGGTTGAGAGTACCGTCAAAGACCTGCTGCGGCCCCGGGGGCTCAAGCCGTGTGATAGGTGTGGTAATCCTATGCCCAGAGGGGATCTGCACGCCGCTTGTCTGAAGTGCCTGGGAGAGGGACATTTGCAGGACAAGTGTAGTATTTGCAGTGGCTTCAAGCCCAGAACCAAAAGTGGGAAAGGCTATTGGCTGAAACTCCTTTTAATGGAGTCTGCTCTCTGGCCTCAACCAGCACAAGAGGCGGCACCAGCAGCCTCATTGCACAGCGCACTGGCCTCGGTGCGGGACACCTCGGCACCGAGAAAGGACTCTCATAAGGAGCATCGGCACCGATTCCCAGCGCGGAAGGCCAGCTCATCGGTGCGACACCGATCACAATCCCCAAGCCGCATGAGAAGAAAAAGGCAGAGGGGGCCGTTCCCATGCCAAGAAGAGTAAACAGGACATCAGTGTGATGCGTCCCACACCGGGACACCAGAAGGCTGGTCCATTGGTCCCGTCACCGTTGACTCTGGCCTTTAGGGGAGGTCCGGTGTTGGTGGACTCCCCAGTCTGAGAGGTGTTGGAGGAGGACCTTAACCTTCCCTCCACACCAGACACTTTCAAGGCCGCGTGGGACTTGATTGCCATGACAGCACAGTCCCCTGCCTCGCATTCACTGGTTCAGGTGCAGACGGCACAAGCCCCAGCTCATCCTGGAGCATATGGACAAAACAGTTCCCTCGCTGCTTTTTAATATGCAGAAGATAGAAGACATTGACAGATATTATGCACTAATTATCACTAATTCTGATTTTTTTTTTTTTTTTTTTTTTTAAAGCAAGGTT